GCTTTTTCTGTTATTCAAAACATGCATTCATTCAAAAGATTCTTGTCTGAAATCCACTTTTCTGTTTTTGTAAGGTATTCCATAAAAGGTAATTTAATTTAAGAGAAAGATCTTTCTGTTGTAGCTTTGCTAGGTTTTATCTTTGGTTTTAGATGACTATAAAATATATTTTTTTACTTTTTTCTGGAATTTTTCATATCCTTGAGGTGAATTGGTTGCATTAATGAAAATCTCTACAATGGAGAGCAATCCTGGAAGCTTACAAACCACTTGTTTAGAAATGTGGTTCTGCTGCCATGGGCAGTAATGGAATAGGAGCTCTAAGTATGTGGGGGTTTCTTAAGTAAGTTGCATTAATCCCATAGCAGCTAAATTCTTTTTCTCCTGTGAGGCACTTTAGTCACCTGGTGTTAAGCAGATGATGCACATGTGTAAAACTATCATGTAGCAAAGCCAGTGCATTCTGGGCAGCTGTTTGCAAACCTCTTCTAAACAAATTTAGCATCTTAAGTCTTGTTCAGATTCTTAGGCTTGTACAACTTGAGGTTAATTAAGTACTTCACATATGAGGACATTAGGAAAGAAATTAATCATCTCTGTTTATATTCGAATGTCCTTGATCGGAGAAAGAGTTCAGCAAACACATTTTTCCTTCCTTGACAGCACAGTCAGAAAAGCAGTCCCCTTTGTCTGTCTGTCTGTCTGCAGGTTTTTGAGGGGAAATGTCTCTAGTCTCTGGCTGAAATCCACGTGACAGCTGTGCTGCAAGTGCAAAATCTGCTCCGAGCATCTTCAAATGCCCTAAAGCAGTTTAGTCAAGTAAGTTTATCAGCAGCTGTGAAGTCATCCTGCCTGTTCGGATGGGCCTATAGCCAGAGTGAAGCAGCCTATGGAAACTCCTGCGTTTCAAGGCTTTTACCTCTCTTGGCGTATTTGACATAGTTTGTAATCAGTTGTAATATGACAGCAACAGCTTGACAAGCAGATAATACACTTCACTTGCAAAATTCATGTGCTAAGACTGCAAACACATTTTTATTTAAGCTATGTGATGTTTATGCATAGCAGGAGGATTTTTTATTCTCTGGATCTGCTGCAGAAAATCTGAGGAGATTTTGAGTTTTTATCTTTTAAAGTATGACTGATATTTTTACAGACTCTTAAGAAAAAGTTTTACTTTCCCCAGTCACACTAATTTATTTGGACAGTCATTCAGATAGGAAGCATAGGCTGAAAGAGGTTCTCTTATTATTTGCTCCCTGAAGCATGTGTGTGCCATTTTCTAGCCATTAGGGTGTTTCATAAGCTTTTATCATTGACTATATTGGTGAAAAATAGAAGAGGAGAGAGAGAAAAGGAAAAAAATTTTTTCGGGTCTCACATAGTCAGTCCAAGAGAAAGAAATATCATTAAGAAAGTAATTTGTATTGTTAAAAAAAAAAAAAAATTGTCATTAAGAAAGTCCTGCAGTAGCTTGTTGGGTGATCCAAGAAAAACTCTGAAGGAGTTTCCGTGACTGATGTAACATCAGAGCAAACACAGCAATGCCATGTCAGGGTGTCACGCTGCACTGTCTGGTGACTGTGAATCTGTCATCTGACGAGGCTGTTCTTCCACTCTGTGAAGCTGAATAGTGCTATATATTTTTCTCTGAGTCAAATCCTGTTGCATCTAGACATTTTCACTTGTTTTACTTGAGTAAAATTCTGTCTAAAAATGTCTGAGCGGCGACAAGGGAGATGTGAGAATCCCCATGTATGCTCTGCATCTGGCATGTGAACATAGGAGGTGGGTGTACAAACAGTGTCACTCGCCACTTTCTTTACCATGCTCCTCCAGAAAATCCTGTGTGGGTTTCCATAGGGATTCATCTCCAGGGAGTTAGTAGTAGGAGGCAAGGAACAGGGATTCAGACTGTTCTTTGCAATCAAAATAGAGGAAAGCATAATAAGTTAGTAGGATCAGAGTCCATGTTCACACAATCTTTCCTTCCATTTTGAAGAATCCTTCAGTAGGATTCATGCTGAAGAACACTATGAATATAGTTATATACATACGTACACATATATCAGCCCTGCCTGCTTTGGATCCTCTGAAACTGTACGTTTGCAATTGGTTGTCTCCCTGTACATGAGAGCATGAGCCTTGCATTCCAGGAACTTTTCCAAGAAAATTTGAGGGCTGAATGCCCTGGAATGACTTTTCATCCCTCTGTATCTTTCTGTGTGGGAAAGAATTAAGTTTCAAGCTACACATGTGCCTGCTTGGATGCTACCCCCACAATTCATTAAATAAGTGAAATAATATTATTTTGTACAGCCTGAGGTTCTCTTCTAACAGTCTTAGATTTGTGCATTTATTTAAACAGTGAAATCTATAACATCAGTACTCACATTTTTACTCTCTGGTTTATCTGCCATTTTATCAGGGACACAATGTGTTTTATTCTGTTCCTACCCTATATCATTATCATTGTTCTGGTCCTAAACCTTAACAATAGTTCTGATTCAGTTCATTGCTCTACTGGATATACATTCCACAGACTGAACAATCTTTTTTGAATGTCAAATCAGATTTTGGAAACACTCCTGTTGTTATATTTGTCCCTGGAAAACACTGGACAGAAGATTCCATCTATTAAAACTGCATTCATTACCAAATCCACAGGAACTAAATCTTTGAATGAATAGCAGTTTATCAAGCAACATGTCATAAAAGACAGTAACTAAAGAAAACCAAAGTAAAACATTCACTTTCATTATTGAACATTTTTAGCTTTATTATTATAATAGAATTACAGTCTGACATAAAATAAAGAGCTTTTGCTAAACTCTGTAAAGCAATACATGCTTCTGCCATAAACAACCTCTATTAGATTTAGGTTTTATTGCCACATCACTGCACTGAGGTGCAATAAACATTCAATGTCATCTTTTTAAAATTATCCCAGGAGTAAACAGAAACTGTCCTCTATAAGAGTGTATCATTATTTTCAAGGAAGACTTACTATTATTACATGGTTTAGCAAAGCATTGTAAAAAAGCTACATAGAGAATACCTTGTCTTTGATAAACTGTGCAATCAAGTTTATACAGTATAATACTATTGGCATAGACTAACTAAGAGGTGATATAATGCAATCATTGCATAGCAAAAAGCAGACTAGTTAAGTAATCTTCACATCTAATGTGCAAAATGCAGACCAAAAGGTAGCTATGAATTGCTAGAAAGATAAAATGCCCTAAATGAACACACTAGTTTAACGCCAAAAATAACAAGATAAACAAGTACACAGAAGTTAAAGAGCCATATTTTATTTTTTCTATACATATATCTACACGTGATACCAGAAGATGAAACATCCCCTTTTAATAAGCTCCAATCAGATAACTTATCAAATTTAGACAGGACTAAATGTTAGACAATGAAGCATTATTAAAAAAAAATAAATCTTATCTAAATAAACATTAACTATTTCCTTTTGTAGATAGAGAATGTCAACTTTTTGATTTATTGAGAAAGAGTTTAGAAAACATTGCCTGTGAAATTTGACTCTCATTAGCTGTTTCTCTGGAGGCTCGTGTAGCATTGTTTTAAAATTAATTCAATCTATATATTACATTTTTTTGTTTGGTGCTTGGAAATATCCACCATTCTTGCCATCTCTTCAAAACATCTTTATCTGAAATTTTATTTCTAAGAATCAGCTGTAATGATACTGACTAGAATTTTTTTTAAAGGGAGCACAATACCGGCAAAATGGACATCTTGTATTTAAAGCCCTTACATATTGTTCCTACAAATATATTGCTACAGTAAAAATGAAATGTAGTAAGTTTACTCAATAAAATCTATTTTCCTGTACATTCTTTTATGTATGACTTTTTTGTATTTAATGCTACATATATTACATCACTTATTGTAACAGTTATGTATCAGCAAATATAGCAGTAATATACAGATGAACTTCTGTCTTAACAAATATTTAACCATTTTTACCTACCAAATATAATCCCATACTTTAGTGTTTATGCATGACCTGAGCAGACCAGTCATTAATCTAATAGTATACATTGGATGACATTGTCAAATTGCAAGCTACTGTACACTTAACCACTTTACAAATGGAATTAATTCCAAGCACTTTCTGTGTATTTATTTTCTTAGGCTTTCCAGTACCACTGATTTATTTTTTTTTTCAGGCTCTAAATATGTTTTATTGAGCATTTAACAACATATTAAGAGCTAAGAGGTGAGTCCTACACAATGTTTTAATAACACAACTTTAAAAAAGTAAAAAAATGTACAATCTCATGCTGCATATTTACATATATTATTTAAATACTATATTTTGTCTTTCTGCTATCCATAAATCTCAGTCTAAAGCTTTTTTAATGTATCATTTTATAAAAGAATACATTCAACATATCTAGAGCTTGCAAAAATTGTTGGGTTTGTTTTTTTTTAAACTCTCTAAAACATAGTAATGAGTAAAAGCTATCTGTAAAAGCATCCTGGAATTGTTTGGATTGCGCAGGGGACAGAGGGAACTTGGGAGCTGCACTTGATAGTGCAACTGGTTTTAAATCTATTCTACTGACAACTTAATGCTTAGAACAAGACTGCAGTAAAACAGCAGATTAAAGCATCTGTTACCATTAGATCTTATGTGCTATACAGTGACAAACTGTACCTAGAGTGAGTAGATTTCCTTTTTCTTTAAAGACCATTTAATATTGTAAGTTAGCTGGTTTGGAATATAGAAGAGAAAAGGGATTAGGAAAATAACGTATCTTCAGGGATTGAGCAAATGGAAAGCTTTACATCTTTGAAAAGATTATAAACAGTGGTTGAATAAATGGTTCGGTATAGTATGTGCATCAGGAACGTCATAAAGAGTATCTTCCCACTCCCCACAATCTTTTGAGTAAAAATATCTTTCTCCCATACATATACAATACCTTTTGGGGACATTCAGTACTAAGCTATCTACAAATAGGGTTTTTTTTTTTTTCTTTCAGTACTCTACCATTCTTTCTTTCCCATTTGTCAGAATCACTTTTCCAAAGTATATAGCTTATATTTTTCTCTCCCTTACACAGATTTTTAAAATATACAGTTATTATTTTACCTTTAGTTAAATAAAGAAATCTTTATTGTCTTTTAGACAGAGGCAATGAAGCAAATGGGAATTACTGTATATGAAAACAGAAAGCAACTCCCAGAGCAAAAGACAAAACAGAACAATATGAATAAATGAGGTTATTGGTGTGGAGTCGGAGCTTTTAACTGAGGCTCCCGGTTTAAATAGGTTGCCCAATAGACTAGGTTAAAGATTCCAAAAAGCAATGGGAATGCTATTCTTGATAGTCGATCAATTTTACTGACGCTGTTAAAAGTCTTCTTGGGTTCTGCAGGTTTTGTTTCTGGCTTAACTTCTTTGGGCTCAATCGTTGCACTTTTAGCAATGGTTGCCAGCCCAGGGTCCCTTGCAATATTAGGGGTGTAGCTCGTAGCTGCAGCTGTGTACGTGTTATTTTTCTTAATGAGAGGATCCTTCACTTTCTTTGGCTGAAGAAAGAAGAAAATGTTTTATTCTCGCTATATTTATTTATGAAAAAGCACCATAAAATGTTGCTGTTAGTTGAATTTATACCACAACTTGTAATAAGCTGTAACAAAGAATCTGGATGCATGACTCATGCAAAATATTTAGGTGAAGACAAAAACAAAATCATCCATCTCGGTTACTTGTATTAGTTAAATCAAATTAGATGGTGGATAAACTATAATGAGGACTTATACTGATAGCTAGGCTCCCTGATAGACAAAATTACATTTAATGGTAATCAGCTGTGACAAACCACTCAATGCAATATTCCCTTAATCAATTGTGCTTCTTGACCAGGACAAAAACTTTAAAAGACAATGAATTTCTTAATGTAACTTTCCATATTAAGACAAATAACATTATGATGCATTCTAACGCAGTTCATACATTAAAATATACAATACAAATATTATGTGACTATGCACTAGAAGAGTGGATTATTTAATAAAATGCAAAGTTGCCAGTATTCTGTTTGCTAATGGTTTACACCAAAAGCATGTGCATTATGGACTAGAACCTTAATGTTCTTGTTTGAATGTTGCAGTTGGATCATAATGGCTGAAATGTCATTCCACATACAGGGACTTAAATAGCTGTATGATTTTTGTATCCACCTACCTATATTGCTAAAGCAAGAATGTATTGAAAATTTTTCAGTGGAGAAGAACTTATTGATCAGAAAGAATATCAAGATTTTTCTACTGGGTCATTATGTTTTCTAGTATTCTACTGCGATCTACTTGTAGGAAAAAAAAATGAATTTTGACATCTGGGGTTACCCACTGGAATTCAACTGTCCCTGTTGAAGGCAGTCCAAATCCTTCCCTCAGCCACTGCACAAGGATAAACATAGAGGAGAGATGTAGGGGGTTGTTAAGGAGGCATAAAGAAAAGCATCACTTTGCTCCAAGTTCCTCTGATTATGAGAAAAAAACAGCTAACAAAAAATCCGAAGAGCTTAGAAAATCTTTAGACAGTGTTTGCCACAAAAAGAATAGGCAAATGTTATCCATTTTATCCTCTTAGAAGGAAGAAAAAAATAAAATATGGCTAAAGAGAAAATACCAGCAGAATGCGATCTATTATGTCATTTCACAAGACAGCAAATATAATTCTCTGTTTTCAAGAAGCAGCTGTCCCATGGGGGAGCCAATATTTTTTAAAGTAGTCACAGTGCTTTTTATGACAGATCAACTATTGATTAATAGCTATATAGGCCACCCACGGGGGGCTTTGGTAAAAAGCTCTTGTTCCAGAGGTGAAGGTTTCAGGGAGCAGACAGGCTCCTGCAGGACACGGGAATGTGAAGGGAAGCTGCAAAAGCACCAGGGCAAGGGGAGAGAGGCTTGTCGAAGCATGGCTTGGAGCCCCACGCAGGAAATAAGTGAAGGCTGAAATGTTAAATGTGTGCAACTTGGTAAGAAAAAAGATTCACGTAATGATGTAGATAATCTTTATTTCATAACAATAATATTCAGCTTAGCTTGAGGCTAAGAAAAAGCTTCAGATTGTCAGAATATTTCTGCTGAATACGAGGAACAAACAGGTTGAAAAACATACTCAGAAAAGATAAAAAGTGGTGTCAGATTTTTTTTTTTTCAGTTGTCTGTCTGCTCTTTTCGTCCTGAGCGGAAAGGCCGCTAACATGCTTGCTGAGTACAGAGGCAGTCCTGTTTCCTTCTCAACCAGATACTCTATTGAGCAGCAATAAATCCAGCAGGCAAAGAACAGCTCCACAGAAGTCTCAGAGGAGACCCTTTCTGTAGATTTAAATGTAATGAGGAGTCTGACCCACAGAAAGTCCTGACACCAGCCAGGGTCTTTATATTTCATGTCAAATTCAACTTTATGAGAAAGTAATATGACAGCTAGTTAGAGCTCTAAATTTTATGAAGCTGTGATGCTCTGTTCACCCCGGCTTGCCTTGCTTTCCTGTCCTTACATCTGCAGATAGTGCACTCTACCAGGTACCAGTATGTCTTTGCTGACTTATATCAAGCAACACATAAAGACCCTTACCTGCTGAGGAATGCAAAGCCATAAACCTTCCAGTGTGTTAAACAGTGCTTGAATATTGTGTTTATATTGGTGTGCTTTTTTCTGAAAATGTAATTTTCTTTGAAACAAATTAAATGGCTGATAATAGTAACTCTGTTACAAGGTATATTAGCCAGGCTCTACTTAACACTGAAGGATTTTGTTCTATTACTACAGCCTATCTTTTACAATAGATATCATGAAAGTAGGAGAAAAACAAAGAATCAAATTTCTTTCAATGGACGGATCATCAGTAACTGCAAACTGTGTTCACCAGCAGTCATGCAGCTCATTACTGTAAAGTTTGTTTTGTTACTTCACTCATTTCACTCAAATACTCATAGTATTCGTTCTACAATACTTCTGTATTAGTCGTCATTGTGTAAATGTCCTAATTTTATTGCTGTTTCCTCACTGACTTATGCAACTAAAATAGCAAAAAAAAAAATTATATATAGGCATATACTCCTGAATTAAACACATATATTCGCATACCAATGAGTAACATCTGCTCCTTCAAATACTTATTCTGCTGAATCTCTAGTCTGTGAATGTTCATAATAACCAATTAGGCAAGTTAAAACCCTCAAGATCTCTCTCTCAAAAAAAAAAAAAAAAAACACCCCAACCAAACAAAACATCTAAATGAGCTTCCTCATAGAAGCAGCTGACATGGTAACTCATAGGAAATAGGAAACTTTCTCTTTCATCCCCTAAATGTCCTCAACAATCTCTAGATGCACCTGTGCCTTACAGAGTGTGATCCCAGACCAAAGTGTGTCTGTGTGGTATCTCTCTATTGCATTCAAGGAGGTGTGTATCAGGATTGCCCACTCCCAACACAGCTGTCAATGCTTCCCCTCAAACAAATCAATTTATCCTTTAGTCTAAGAAGAAAATATTTCTGTTTTTCAAAAGCAGAGAGAAATGATAGGCAAAAGAAAGGAAAGAAAAAAGTCCTGTGGTGATGTATTTGGTCACGATCACAGAGCCATCCTCCTGAAGTTCATGTTGGGGAGCAATATACTTTGGAAACTGTCAAATACAGTAGCCACAAGTTTGGTTTTTTTTACATTTATACTGAGGCATCCACATATTCTCTTGTTCAAACACTTGAAAATTGCCTTCCCTTAACAAAAATACACATTTATCTTTTTTTCTGCTCAGTCGCACAAGTTAAAATATCAGTAAAATTTTTAATTATTAATAGCATTAAATATCATCCAGTCTGTCAGAAGTAGTATTTAGGTACTCAATGTCTAAGTAATTATTGTTTATGTGTAGAAATGCTGTGTGTGGATACATGAGGAAACTCTTCTGGAATAATTACTTATTACTTACTTTTTCTAAATAATGAGAATTCTAATGGGCTAAAAAAACCTCATATAGTGACCAAGCATGATAAAGTATGACATGTTGAGATAGATATTAAGTGGTATTACCTTCTCAGGAACGACGCTTTTGCCATCCCATGCATAGCCTCTCTTTGTGAAGTAATTCACTGTGGCAAATTCGATGAGTGCAGAAAACACAAAGGCATAGCACACGGCTATAAACCAATCCATGGCAGTGGCATAGGCCACCTTGGGGAGCGAATTCCTTGCGCTGATGCTCAGAGTAGTCATTGTCAGGACAGTTGTCACTCCTGCAAAGCAAAGAGTTTTAGTGTCTTTAGATCAGTGGCTATATTTTGTGCTTCATTTCTCAGCTGTTACAGTAGATGGGGAAGCCTTGTCTTCATCCCTAATTCTTATGAACTTCCCCACTTAAATCCAGTTGCTAACAGAGGATTTCAGATTACAAGTTCTGTGGAAGTTGCAGGATCTTAAAAACATCTCCTATAGCTTTATTCTTTGGCATTGTTTTAGTAGAGTAATATTTTTAAAGTTGGAATGGAAATAATGTTTTGAGTTGTGGACTGGATACCACTTTATGCTTTCTGGTATTTAGAGAATCATTGCTGCTGTTCCTTATTCATGCTCTGTGAACTGGCCTACAGATGTAACAATTTAACATTTTTAGATCTTTCTTGCAACAGTTCCAAGATATTTAGATAGAAAACTAAAAAACTTGTTTTCATTCAGATAATTTGGTATATGCTTCTTCAAATGTGTAGTCAAATGCACTAAGCTTTAGGTGATATTACGCATATTTGAATTGTTGCTTTTACAGATTTCTGCCCCTTTATTCACTGATGCCCTGAAAATAGCAGAGTTTATCTAAGAACAATGATAATATAATGTGCATTTCTGGTATCAGAGCTTCTCACTGCTGATGAACCTTTTCCCTTAACTGGCGATTGAGAGCAAGCAGGACTCTATTGAACTCGCTCTGCTTGCTGCCGCTTGAAAAAAAAAAAAAGTCTGCAAATGCAGGATCGACATTTACATCAAATCACATGTCCACAAGTTACCTTGACAACTGCAATGTCATGTATTGAATGTGTCTTGAGAATACATCTTCCCTGCACTGTTAGTGAAAATGTGCAGCGGTCTAAACTAGGCCAAATAACGAACATTGCATTTACGTGCTGGTGTAAAGAGCTTGAATTATTAGTGCCTAATGAGGAAGGAATTTCTCTTTCCCAAGAGACGACCTAATCTTGTCTTTGACTCATTATTAGTGAGCTTATGCTTCTCCTACGTAGTAGCTAAACAGGATTTATAATTTTTGGTTTTTGTGGTACTAAGTGGACTAAAAGGTGTAAGTTGTGCTTCTGTATGTATACACATTCATGCAAAATTTTCTGAAATGTTTCACTGCCATTAAAAAATAAAAAAGCTCTCTTGATATATAATGATGGAGTAAAAGCAAGACTATTCACTGAATAACTATCTTGTAAAAGGAAAGCTTTCAGAAATTTGTGAGTTCTTGAGCCTGTGAAGATAGCAGCTTGAACATTGTGCAGTATTATGTATTATTCATTGTGACAGAGGAAATTCTGTTCCCCATCTAGGGACAATGAAGTCTAGCATTTCAAACTGATCATCTGACATTTCTTTTTAAATGGCATGTGCAAAAAGAGGTAAAGTAGTTGCAATTTCTGTAGCTTTGGATACAGAGGCCCATAAGAGTCCCAGGTTAATTTTCAGTGAAGTTGATAAATTCAGAACTAATTTTAGATGTTAATCTAAACAATATTATCTAAATCACATTAAATTTTACTGTAGTCCAAACTATTCTGTAAATGCACATCTGTATATCAACAGAAAGCTTCTATTTGGTTCATGAGGCCTAGGCTTATGCAAGTAGTGATTGATTTCCTGAGGCATTGGGAAACGAAGGCACAGCTGTCAAGAGTACCAGAAAGGGTCAATAAAAATAGCTCTTGCTCAACAAGAGTTACAGAGTCTGCATTCCTCAACATGGCTTTGCCATGTCCAGTGTAAATGGGCAAATTCTCTTTGGCAAAGCAGGAGGGCCCATGGTGTCCTGCCCTAGCAGTGCCCTGAGGCAGGGAAATCAGTGTAAAAGCCAGCTCGGCTGTGTGTTCTTCCACCTCCATCCACCAAAGGTGTTCAGGTGTACCATCTGAACATCACCAAAAAGACTAGGTCACATAGCAGGAATCTCAGGTTCTATTTTCCTTAACTGAAGATTTGTTACATCATAATCTTTTTTTTTTTTTTTTAATTATGTACTTGACTTGGATTAATATCTCCATCTCCAAAGAATATGCTAGTTGTGTGTTTCTAATTTTAAGATCAGCATTTGCTAGCAGTGGTTAAAACACTAGGGACCAACTGTATAAACTTAGAGTCCTTTAGATAGCCTTCTTGCTGCATTCATTGAGCACATCTATTCACCACTGTAATCACAATCATCACTCATTTCAACAGCAGCCTGCAAAAGGGTTTGATGAACAAGATACTTAAGAATTTTTGAAGGGCCCAAGGATGTCAAATGACCAACACCCATTGATTAAAGCCTTTTTGGTAAGCCCCACCATGTCATTGCCGTTGTCAGAAATGTTTTATTCATATACTTATTGTTTTGTAGAAGTCAAACTGTAATAGATTGCTTAAGACATTTTCAGGTCTCTTTTTACAATCAGTTTAAGTGCTTTGGACCTTAAATCAGCTTCTGCTACATCTTTTCAATGAAATGTGTTAACTGTTATGTACTGCACTATGTATGCTGTTCTCCAGTAATATGTTATGCATAACTAGTTTTACTACAAAACTTCGCCAAGTGGTTTATAGGTCTTGCTTACCAAATACAGTTCTTGCTGGAACAGATTCTCTATTAAGCCAGAAGGACACCTGTGACAGTATCACTGTCATGATGCACGGCAGATAAGTCTGGATGACGAAGTAACCTATCTTTCTTTTCAAATGAAAATGTGTAGTCATAACAACATATTCCCCTAAAACCAAGAAAAAACAGGAACATTAAACCTTTCACAAATACACAAATTAGAGGGCTTTATAGGAAGTATTTTTTCATTGCATTCACCCCTATTGTAAAAAAAAAAAAAGTTCTCAGATCAAATTGGGTCAGCTCTGAATAAAACATTTAATAAAGCAGATTCTGAAGTTCCACTAATAATACGAAAATAGACAGTTGTAGGAAATGCTAGTTAAATTTACATCTTTCCATGTCTGTCGAGTAGTGAATGAAAGTCTGCGTGGTGGCTGGTGGCTGTTTAGGTCTCTTGTGAAAGGTCTTATTCTGGTAGAAGATGGGAAAGCACCATAATATACACACACACAAGCATCGTATAAAGACTAACAAGACAGGCACTCAGAAGTTTCAGTTGGGTCAGGCTTAAGGTGTAACTGTTGATGTGATTGTGTCTGCGTTACCACTGTTTGCGCTTTATGTACTCTGAAGATTGTGTCCCTGTTCTGCTAATCCAGTACTTTACTAAATGATTGTTCTCTCCTGAAGTGAATGGACAATGCAAGAATAGTACAGAATATTTTCATTAGCACTGACTTTCTGAGTGCTACAAAAACATGAGCTGGGAATTCTCATTGCAATTGAAAAAAATCTTAAGTATTTATATAATTCTATAAACCTTTCCTCCCAGAGCACAGCAAATAATGCCTTGTTTTTAGATCATTATTTACATCACTGAAAATGACTTTTGAAAAACAGTATATTCTCAAAATATTGGACAACCTATTGTTGTGACTTTTTTTTTTTTTGAGGAGATTGATTCTTCTTATGCATTAAACATTGTCTTAGGAAAGAAACAGCTGGATATGTAACTGAATGGAAACTTCTGTCTAAATTAGAGGTGGCATGTGGAATTACAGATATTCTATTTTAAAATGTAGGTAGTTGGACAGAGAATATTGCTCTTGTACAGGAAAAGCTTAAATTGGTTTGAAAAACTATGTCTAGACATTGCTTATGCACTGAGTATGTCAAGTGCCCTTTTCTTTAGTTCAGTCTAGAAGAACATTCATTTGAACAATCTTGCTCAAAGTATAACACTGAGGAAAGCTTATAGATTAGATGTGACAATACTCCTGGTTAAGTTTCAATATAAGAGACAGTAGCAAAGGGGGTAAAGAGAAGCTAATAGAAATTGAGGTAAAGAAAAGGATATATGATGAAAATTTTCTTTCAAAAATAGGACTGCGAGAAGTAGTATAGTGGGTATTATTACTTGAATTTCAGTCAACTTTTCTTAAACTTTCACTGAAACAATCTTCTTCTCCTCTGAACTAGAGATTATGATCTTATGAAGGATGCCAGCCTTGGCTAGAAGAGCCAATAATTTAATTTTATCTACTAAAATATGACGTGGGAAGCTATTTTAATTTGTCAGATATAGAATGCTCACAACGGTATGTCAAAATTAATTCAATGATTGTAGATGGCAAGCTAAGAATACAGAGTGAACACACCACTGTACTCTGAAGCTTTATTTAGCTGCTTAAATTATCACAGTATTTTTAACCTCTGGAAAATGAGAACAAGATTCAAAGCATAAAGACAATTAAAAAGACAGGAATTAGTCTCATCTCTTGAGCACTTCAGCAGGTCTGAGCTAGAAGTCAGCTAAAGGTAATGCTATGAGAAGCGAACCACGCAAAGCATGGGCCTAGAGTAATGCCTACAGTTCCGTTAGAAGGCAAAAACATGTCTTTAGGTCTCCAAAGTACCAATGCACTGCAGTCATTTATTAGGATACAGAAAATCTTTGAGATTTATTTAAATAACTAGGACATGAAAGTACTCCAGTTCTTCACTGAACCTCTAGCTTGCCGTGTTTTATGGCTTTCTTGAATTGAAAAGCATAGCCATGTTCATGACAGCTGCTGACCACTAACTTCCCAGCCATTCCTCTGTGATTCTATTTTCAAAGGTTCATAATTCAGCTATAAAATTCCCTACAAGCTACAATTTCAAATAGCTCTTGAGTTCCTAAAGTCTTCTACAAATAACTGTGTTGAGCTGATAAATTTGGTTTTCATTTTATTTGTTCCATGAAGTTTAAATCAGTTTATGTGTTAGACAATATGAAGCATTTAAAAGTGGTCACACAATTCCTTCATCTGTATTAACTTAATGTTTAAAATAATTGTCCACATTTTAATACTTTCAGTGCTCTGGAAGAGTTTGTGTCTGCGCTCAACACTTCTGTAGCTGCAGTTTTTAACCAGTCCTGAATTCTATGCTACATCACAGTCATTGAGTCAGATGCTCAGGTGGTGTAAACTAACCTGTGTCCTTAGAAGAAGATAGTTGATAATTCAGTAAAATTACATTAAACTTATTACTCAGTGTTCTGTAAACTATTTGTAATAAACCCAGTTTATCAGGTGAGAACCTAAAATTAACATGCATCTCATCAGATATAAGGTTGAGGTGGGGACTGAGTTTTAGCTAAAATAATACTTTTTCTATTACCGTAGTTAGGAAGTAAGGCTTTCCTTGCCATTAATTCAAAGAAAAGTATTTCTCATTTGCTACTTATGCAATGTGACCCAATAGAAAAGCTATTAAGAACAGCGTCCTCTCAGCAGATGTATAGAAAAAAATATACCATTGTGAGTAAAATCCTGATGATTCCCAGTGCAAAGCAATGTTTTCAAGGTGGCAAAATAATTCTATGTAAATAGAAACTTGCACAAGCCCTTTAAGCATCTGTTAAGGTGCTTACAAAAAAAAAATATAATTTTAAACTCTTTCTGAGACAATATGAGTCAGTAGTTGTAGAGTGACAGGAATTTTACACACAAGTTAAAAATGGATGACTCTCTGCTTAAGCAAAACGGCAGCAACAGTAATTATTATTTCGTTTACTGAATACTATTTTTAAGTCTGTAGTACCTGCACGTTTCATTGCCAGCATAAATGAATAATTATGCTATAAAAATGTTTTAGTCTTTCAAGATTCTCTTGTCATGAAAAAGTCAGTAGTTGTAGTTATCTTGTATTTAACTTGTTCTAGATCCAGAAATAAGGATAATAGATGGCCTAATAGCAAAGGAAGAAATTAAAGAAAAAAAAAAGGGGGACTTTATAGATTCACCAAATCACTTAATAGTTTTGAGTATGTTTAGAGTAACCCAGTTACACCCAAATTCTTGGTAAATGTGTGTTTAGAATTCCAGACAACTATAAATATCATCTTAAAATTGCCCAAGATGCTTTTATGATTCCCAGAATCAGCTGCATGAGAGCTTAATTTTCTTGCCTAGTAAAGGTGCTGAGAACTCTTAAGTGAAGATTGTCTTCAATTCCTTTTGTCTTTCTGTCAAATGAGTCATCATCCACAACTCTGAAAGTAGGGAGGGATTTCATAATTTTCGTTACATATGTCATATCTTAAAACAGAGACGATTGGAGAACAAAGATGTGCTGGAGGGCTCTGTTGAGGCTAGCTGCCCACCTGCCTGAATGGGGAGAAAAGTGATTATTGACCACTTCTGATCCCCACCATTATTTTGGGGAAGGTAAAACGTTTTTCTTTCCAAAGCAAATCAGGAAGAATTTTCTCTTGAGAAAGAAACATTTATTGCTTGCAAATTCTTCCATCACTGTATATTCTTATCAGATAGTAACTAAAGAGGATTGTAAATTTGGTACTAAAAAGATTATTTAATAGGCTTATTTTTAGTTATGATAACCATTGTATTTAGTTCTTTGTAATGTTTTTCTGCATCTAGACAATAGCATCTTTATTTCATCAAACATTAAGTATGCTGCATTTAACTTTATAGATAGATGGTAAAGAGTTTCTTCAGGTAGAAAAAGGAGGAAGACTTTAAACCTAGGAAATATCATGCGAAAAACTAATTTTTTGTTTGTTTCTTCATGGAAATGTATGAAGAATTTTTACACTTACATTTACCTTCAGTTCTGTTCAAAAATTTATTACCTGCCTTTCTTAGCAATTTATAGGGTGCTTCTTTCTTTACTATCTAATTACCCTGAATTGTATGAAATGTATGAAGAATTTTTACACTTACATTTACCTTCAGTTCTGTTCAAAAATTTATTACCTGCCTTAGCAATTTATAGGGTGCTTCATTCTTTACTATCTAATTACCCCGAATTGTATCTCATATTATCTATTTGGTTTAGATATGTTCCCAAGCTTATGAGTCTCTACTGATTATCCTGCTGCCCTTGCAACGCATCCAGCAAGAAGCGCATTGCCGATGTGTGCAGAAGGGCAGGCACACGGGTTGCCGAGGTCGCTCTGAGTGAGTAGCTGCAGAACAGAAAGAGCAAAGAGCTCAGGTTCCTTGCATTTCCTCACAAATCCTATTGACTTTTCAGCAAAGGGTAGCTGAGGTGAATTACTCGCTCCACAAAAGTCTAACACATTTCTAGCTGTGGCCAGGCTGAGAGTTCTCCCCTTTCTTTCACTTGTCCAATGCATGCCTCTCTGCTCAATAATGGAACCAGTGAATCTATGGGACCAGTTGTCTTGTTACTCTTCTTATGCAAAATCCTTATTGCTGCCATCCCACTTGCTGCTTTTATGATTACATCAACTGAACAGAAGCTTCCAAGCAGTAACCTGAATATTGGTCCACTAGAAACTTGTCTGTGAGACATTTTGTTGTCTTAAAAAAGCATATGAATATATTTTGGTAAGCTAAATAAAAAATTCAGATACAAATTAGGGTTCAATTTATATCACTTTTCCTTAAATGTTCATTGACTTTATGAAAGACACATTAGAAAGTTTGATTCATGCAGGTATAAGTGTACTTGTCTAGTTCAGTCACAGTATTGGGTGCATTCAAAGCAATAAAACCACTTCTCCTAATGCAGGGCTTCTTTTGGTCCATTGAACAGTCAATCTGGTCTTGCTTATGCCCAATGCCCAGTTTAATACTGTATTTAGGTCTTAGTGCTCCTTACAAATTATTAAAAAAAAAATAATCTTGAAACAAACCCTGCAAAGTGAAAAAACAAAAGCTTTTATCCAGCTCCAAGGTTACAGGTGTATAGTACCATAAATGTTGGCTGTATTTCTGTATCTCATTAATAGTTTTGGAGTTAAAGCTGGTGCTAGCATTAAGACACGTAAATCCTGTTTGGATGTTCCAGATGGTTTTTAATTTGATTACATATTTTTTTCACTCTCTAAATACCTCCTTGAGAAACTATATGCTTGCTTTCAGCAACTTACTTCACTGACTTGAGGAATATAATCTTTGAGGATTCATATACTATTTTTTTAAGCTTATATAGTAAGCAGATAATAAGATACGGATATGAGGAGTACTTCTTTATAATGTAGATGACTGGATTTTCTTTTTTTTTTTGGCTAGATCTGTCACTATAGGAAGCTTTTTAGTTGTTCAAATATTTTAACCACCAGTTGAAGTAGGAAAGTAATCCCAGGATATGTTATCTTTTCAGAATCATATTTTCCTAATCTGAAGCTCATATATTTCAATTTACCTCTCTCACTCTTTGGTCTTTGTATTTTTTCTCCTGCTTTGTATAATGTTTTGGCAGTTAAATATGACCCTTCCCAAAAGCCCTTTTTCACAGACCTGTACTGGACTGAACAATTCCAGAGTCCACAGTTTGTCCAAGCAGATCATATTGGTTCAACCGCGAGCCGTCTTCAGCCACAACCACTGACCTTGCTGGTTCCCGTGTCCATTCATACACAACCTCTGCTCTGGTATAAGCATCTAATTTAAAAGAAATATATTGCATTTCAGCTTTGCATCTTCTATTGCCATATGGCTTTATCAGAACAATGTTTTGAGCAGTAGTTTGAATATTAAAATATTTTATTAGAATATTTCTGTAGAAAACCAGAACTAGCTTACAGGAACTTCTGTTCTATGGGAAATATAACTGATTTTATAGGTCTATCCATATGACGATTATCTAAATATCTGCTTTAGGGCTGGATTAAGGTTGTCCCTCAATGGCATGAAAATCATTCCTACCTATGTAAAATCTGAGTAACCAGAAGCAAGAGTGAGATGTACAATTTCATGGGCATGTGAGGACTCCAACTTTTTTTCCAACTTTTAACTGCTACCAAGAAAGATGACACCAGACTCCTACCTACAGGATGAGATTTTCCTTTTTTTGCGGACTGGCAAGCAGGAAAGGAAAAGGAGGAATCTGATTGATTTGACCTCGTTTCTGAGTTAGTAACTTTATCTTGGCAATATAAAAGATAAGAGTTAGTAATTGAAGAGGTGGTGTTGGATGAAGTGTGCTGGTAAATTAATTGCGTGGCATTTGATCCTGCATTATTGGAGAGCAAGAGTGCTTTTAGCCACAGACTTCATATTCCCCAAGCACTGTAACATAACCATAGCTTTTTTGAATCAATGGTAAATGCAAATCTACATGTTAATAATTCTGACCTTAAAAATAATGGCCGCAGTAAGTACAAGAATTTAAATAATACTGTTAATTTTCACGCGTTTTACTAGGTGGTCTGTTTAGATCCTCAGCTTCCATCAGATAGAGCAACACAGCCTCTTGCTCCTATCACTGCTGCTTTCCAGAGTGGCCTTACTTTTAAACTGACCATCAGAATTTTGTGATAAGAGTTGAGGAGAGCATCTGCCTTTCTGATTTTTTTTTGCTAATGTTTGGCTTTTTGTTGTTCCAGAATCTCTTTAGCATTTGTTACATTGAATTTACATTGGAATAACCTCTATCTTAAGCTGCTATTTTGGCAAATCACTTTAGCCTTGGAGCTGGGTCAGACATTTATCAGCCTCTACAGGAGAGGCAGAGTCTGTAGGAAACATGCAGCTTCTTCAATATGAGGCTTTTCTGAATCCAGCTCCAACAAGTAATGAGTAACAGTGGAGGACATGGAAAAACTCTTATCCAATTTAATTCGAAACAGAGTTGGGCAAACACTACCTTGGGGACCTACTAAATGTAAAATTGTAATCTGCACTTAAAGAATGGCTTTATGACAGTTAAATATCTGTCCATTAAGATGATTATAGTGAATTGCTTTAGTTGTTTGACAGAATGTCCCAAACATATTTAAATATGATTCCTATTAAAAAAAAAAAAGTGGCAATTAAATATAAAGAACTGTCCTTTTTCTATGTACAATGGCCAGTCCCATTTTTATATCTTGCTTGGGTCCAGCCATTTGTCCCATGGGAGATATTTCTATTTATATCAGTAACTAAATGTTAACACAAATATTCTATAATCTGATAATTATGGAATATAATCTGATGAGAAGGAGGGGAGAAGGTCCAGCTTTAAGGACCTGTTTGGGACAGTGAATTCTCCATGCAGTGTTTGCAGCAAAACCATGTTACACAAGGAGCTCCTCCTCATGAGGATCCCAGATCAGAAACTCACCTGAATTTAGCAGGGGAATGCAGCGTTTCCCTGAAAACTCATGGCTCTTCCTAGCATTTGGAGTGACTTGTTTTTCTAGGTCCTGTTTAGGACACCTGGCATGATAGCCAGTCAGTGTTCAGAACAAAAAAAATGATGAAAAACAGGCTGTAAAACATGACAGACCATGCCTGCATTCTGAGTTTAGAATGACAGTTGTTGCCTTTGACTTTAATGTAAGAAATGGTCTTTCAATCAGAACTATAACTGATTTTTTTTCCATTTAAGAAAATTATGCATATTATGGTAATTATTTTTGCAGGACAAAAAGGAAACTAATTTAGAGTCAAAAGCTATGCAGATACACTTGCATGTCTTTTTGCTATCTTGTTTGTACCTTGCAGTGTGGTTCTGAAGTTCTATTCAGATCCATATTATCTACCATTTTTCATTCATGTTTTCTGCATCTCTTATCTTATCTCATGGAGGCAAGATCCTTAGTAATCTGGAAGGCCGTGCATTTTGTGAACCAAGGGTACACTAATCTGGGGCACAGTGTGCCAGAAAGATCAATGTAGGAAAAAAATGGGAACTTGTTCAGACTGGGGAGTGTCTGGTGTTTAGGCTGTGGCTCAGTGATGCACAGATGTGGTGACAGGTGTCTTATCAAGTCTGTTAAAATTCAATCTTGTAGTTCACATTTGTTCAAAAATTGTTCATGGTTTAGCTTTGCATTAGCAGCTTTTATGCACCATTAGCCAACTTCCCACCTCCCAGATCCAGCATGCTGCCCTCATAAACACTTGTATGTGCATTTCAAAGGAAATTCAATCTTGCAACTACTCCTGATTTAACTGGGATATCAGGTGCACAGATTTCCTGTTATTAATCAAGAACCCACTGCAGCTATTTGCCCTGTTATTAGCTGGAGTAAGCTCCCCCCACCCCCTTCTGTTTCCCAGGAGATTTGGAAAGATTTATTGTAAGTGCTGTAAGAAAACTTAATATTCAAGAAGTAAACTATTCTTGTCAGTTTTACTGCAAGTTTGTATGAGTTTTTTGTTCTCTAAATCTTATCTAGGAGGCTAGTAGCTCTTTAAAGACAAAACACCGGTCATTTCTCATGGTAAATATAGAGCTATTCAGCCTAAAGTAAATTATCCGCCTTTCTGGTAACCTGTGAAGAATGAATTGGGTGTTCTGTTTGTTGACTTCTAAAATAAATCAAGCCACTAAGTACCTGTTATCAGTGAAACGACCCATTTCTACTAGAAAAAAATAGCCATTGAGGAAACAATTTGTACACTATTACATCTTCCACACATTTTTGTCTTCCTTGTTTGTGTTGAACCAACCAGAGCAAAATAGCTCTTCACTTTTTTTTTTTTTTTTTAACTTAAAGAGTTGAAGGGGAGCTTTATTTAATTTTTAAAAAATATTTTGTTTAGCTAAGTTTGAAAGTATCAGTGTCAGGTTGGTTACTATTAAAATTAAAGTTTGGGGGTAAATTCTCAACTTGCAGGAAGCTTTGGCAGTTAGCACACCGATTTCAATTACATTATGTTTTGTCCAGTATGTTCTCTACTCTAAGTTTATAAATGACACAAGTGTAGGTCTCTATTTGGAGATTTGTGAGATTTTTCACTTCCAGAAATTGTTGCATAATTGTAATATGAGTATTTTATAATCTTAAGTAAAATTTTGTTCTAAATGTCCCAAGACTATGGTAGAATTGTTTCCACCTAAACCAATTCAGTTATCCATGGTCTGTATTACTTTTCTCTAACGTCGATTTTGGGTCTTAACAAAATAAAGGAACTGTAAGATTAACAACATTTTGTATGTGACAAACTACTTTTCCAGATGTTTAGAGCATTGTCATTTTTCTCTTTTGTGAATATCCAGGCATAAACATTGGAGGATATTTAAGATGCATAGGAAAGATTCATTATGTTAAATGTAAGAACAAAAATACAACCCTGCAAAATAGTGAACAGTACACAATATTAAACCATGAGGTTTTCTTAGTTCCAAAAGACTTTTGTAAAGTGGCCTAAAAAGGGAGAAACCTCAATTTAAAATAAACTTACAGCTTCCAAATTTCAAGGGGCAAGCATGTGCATCCATAGGAAAGTCTTCTAAATGCATTGGACATTCTGCTCTCACAGTCAATCTATAATGGATTAATGAGCAAAAGGACACATTTATTCTAGTTTCATAGAAATAGCAAATGGACTTCTGTTAAGACACATAGAATAAGTATAGCACAATATCTGTTATGTGATTAATTAGCAGGTAGAACAGGACATGAATTGTCTGGCGGGGGGTGCTGACAGGCATGTGCAGACACAGCAGTGCCTCTGGCTCTGCCCCTCTGCGGTGTTTCACTGTACAGCAGAGACACGCTCAGGCTTCCAACTTGGTGTGAGGATTAAAATCTATTAGAAAATGAAATTGCTTCCTTGCTGCCATCATTAAATTGGCCCACTCTGGGTGCTCAGACATTTGCTGAAATAATTTTATTGCTATCAGCTTGGGTACAAATATGTTTCTCAGTAAAAGAGATTAAATAAACTAGAAACAGTCACATACCCCACATCAGCAAGCAAGGAACAATAATACTTGAATATTAGGCAGAAGATTGTGTTAAGGCACTTGCAAAGGTGAGCAAATAGAAACGGTTATAGTCAAAAAAAGAGACATGTGAACAATGTGCTGCCAAGATAGTGTTCTTGTGGATTAAATCCCCAACAGCCAAGCATTTAGGAAGACAAGAAAAAATTGACCTGGACTTGTGTAACTACCAGCCAAGCAGATTCTACCCTAGCCTAGGCAGTCTTGAACTATTTTGCAGAATAAATTGAACATATTTGACAGGCTCCTAAAAGCCTGGAGACTTTTGTTTTCTCCAACTACTGCTTTTAAAAACATCTTTAAAATTGTGAAAATCAACCTCAGTGTTCACCTACATACTAAGCTCTCCATCTTGAGTCAACAGAATCATTTTATACCTTGTTTGATTCCATGGGAGACATAAATGGGGGATATGTAGCTCTCTAGAGACAACATACCATTTTTATTCAATATTTAATTTGGAGTCTTTTAATCCAGAATGGTTCCCTGACTGTATATCATTGTTATTTCAAAAGGATTTATTTAACTCCTCTGCTGATAACTGGATAGCTAAAGTTCAGTTATCCATGAAGAAAAATAATATATTTTCAGTAAAAGTTGTGCCAGCACAAAAATATTTTCTCCTGACTTTCCAAATGGTTTAGCGAATTGTTTTTCTTGTTATGAATAAGAAATGTCTATTTCCAGGCTGTCATGCTCTGTATTCCCAAGCACAAGAAATATGAAGAATGGGCAATGAATCAATTCAGTGTGCATCTGCTAGTTCTTACAATCTTTCTATAGGATCCAAAGATTAAAGACTCTTGGACAAGATCTAGTAGTCTAGATTACATTAAACTTTCAGGCTCTATTATACTGTGCTAATGGTAACCTTGAAAGCAACTCTGAATTAAGGTATTCTTCCTACTGGAAGGTACCCTAAAGTACTATAGAAACCTTTTTAAAATTAAGACGCATCCAAGGAGTGTAAAGGTAGCACAGCACATAGAGAAAGAAGTAAAGACTGCAAATGCCTCAGTCCATCATTCCATGGCCTATTGTGAAAATAATTAGTTACTAGGAGTCAAATAATGCTCAAAAAGGCACCTATTTCCTGTTTGGAAAATACGATGCTTTAACCAGTTAAATTGTCAAACTAAATGAAGGATCTAATATTTCAGAGCTCACCTCATTGTGTATAGCAATGTCCCATCCTCTGTAATTCGTAATAGTTTATTTGGCATCGTCATGTTATGAGCCACTGACTTCTTTCCATTGTGGAAGAAGGTATCAGGTGTCCAAATTTTACTGGCCATTAAATTATTTAACCGGAGAACAGTCATAGGTCCTTTGAATTTTAATCTCTCATCTTTCCAGCTTTGTCGGAAAAATACATCTATGGTGTATTCCTATATCAATTCAGAAAAAATTGGAAACGCTTATGACACCATATGTTGCAATAGGAGAACTTGAAAAGTATATTCTTACCGTTCCCTAGAAGCAAGATGACTATTAATGAAATTAGTAATTATCAGAACATTTATTCTCTATATTACTTACAACGTACCTGAAGCTGGTTATTAAACAGTTACAATATCATCACTGCATTCAACAGAATAAATGCTAGGGAGAACAGTACACCAAAACTTAGACAAGGATTTGGGATATAATATAGTGGAAACAAAATAATTCACTCCTTTCTCACTTTTCTTTCACCTTCCATAAAACTGTAGAAGCTGTGGATGGGTAGCAAGTATGTGTAGCACAAGAAGAATATGTCTCTTGGAAAAAAACAATCCTGGTGAGGCAGGGTCTTACTAGAGCCTTTTGTTCTAAGTGTCTCATCAGCGTAAACATGCAGTCAACCTGCAAAAAGGTCACAGTTCACTAGAATTATGTGGTCTGATTTATGAGATGTGGAATGGCTCACTGGACTACAGAGAGCACAAACCAAGGACAGCTTTGGACCAAGAACTATGGTTTGGTTATGCAGGGACTGGGCCAATGGGGAAGAGATGCAGTGGCTGATTCAGTATACATGGGGAGAATCAAAATAACCAACACTCACTATGAAATTAATGAATTCTTTTTAACAAAGCAACAGGAACTTGCTTCAGAATTTTGCTGGGCTGGGGCCTTAGGTGGAACTGTGTGCGAAATCTTGTCCCAGGTGTACAGCAGAGTAAGAGAGGAGCAGGTTTAAAATGCAGGAGATGACATTATAATATTGAATTTCCTCCATGTTTTACTAGCTTCAAAGAAAAGTTCCTTCTACACACATGGGAAAGGTAAAAGACGTGCCCAGAGGTGACATCATTTCAGTGTGTTTGCAAGCCATTCCCTTTTTATCTCTTTCAACTGCAAAGGAGGTGAGTGGGAGGTGGTACAGGTTGAGAGAAGACAGTCTGGTGCTTCACTTTCTATGAACCCAAGGTTCTTATTCTGGAAGAGAACAAAGAGCCTGAGGGATTTGATAAGGGACCTGACAGCATAAGATAAAACTCAATTAAAAAGTAGCTGACAGGTCATGCCTGGCACAGACTGAATCTTTCGCTATCCCAGGCCATTGCACCATACGGGGTGAATTAATTTTGGCTGAAATTTCTCAGCTCCTTAGCTGTCACCACCCACTTTAACATTTTACAATAATTCTCCTCAAATGAATCCTGACAGGCAACTGATCTTTAAGATCAAGTCATCAGATACTCTGATTAGGGCTTTCTTCTGGAAAGGGACAGGAGGATGCCATACAGAACAAGAAAACAGAACAATTTTCTCTGAACTATGTACCATAGCAGTGGTCTATGTGCAAACATACGAGCAAGATGAAATTCAGAATAAATTCTCCACAGTGGAGAATTTTCATTCCTTAGTGTGCAGGTAAAGAAATAAAATTCCTATCTGCACTTTGGCAATAAGTTGTATGGTATTCAATATTTATAACACTTTGACTTAAATGTTCTCTAATTTACTCATCTGATAGCTCTCCCTGGAGACTGTTTACTCACAGGGTAGACCACACTGTGGTCTGTATCACGTGAGTGCTGTATATAAAGGTAGTAAGACAGAAATTTATTCCTGAAGAGCTTAGAGTACAGAAGCAGTGGGAATGAAGGTTTACTAGAAAAAGAAACCACCTCTCTTTATGAAAAAAGTAAATTTTAAAAATGTTTCTGATTCCAGATAATATACACCAAAAATTTCACCAAAATGAGTCATGTGCAAACAGCCAGTTATCTGTTGATTAGTTTAATCCACCATCTGAGAGAGCATGTCTGAAAACCTCCAAAGTTCTTCCAAAAAAAAGATTTTTTTTTAATTTTAAAAAGTGCTTTTCTCCTGTTTAACTTTATTCACAAGTTTAAGAAGCAGCCAAGACATTCTCTTTATAGAATAACAGGTTATGTCTATGCTGCTCCTAAAAGAGTGTATTGAGAGTGGGTAGAAACACCATGTACTCCCTGATATATCAGCCTACTATCTATGTAACTGCCTCATCGGATTCCTGCAAACAGATGGTGTAGGTATGCTGATGTCTCACTGTGGTTGTGGTTTCATAACACATGGCGTCAGCTGGAATAGCTCCTTGCCAGTTCCCAGCCATCAGTCCTGGGCTCAGACAGCAGCGTGTCGTTCCCTCGTGTGTCAGTACAGCTGCTCCTGAGGCCTCCCTGTGACCAAACCCCACAATCCAGTCTACACTTACTGTAAATCTGCTCACTGGAGCAAATCTGGGGTAGCCCTCAAATGATGGTGTCTACAACAAACCTGTAGTATGCATGGAGGACTTTGCACTTAATGTACATGGAAATTTAATATAAACTTTATATTCTGGTAAGCTCTTAATTTGATCTTTCTCTTTCTTTCTCTGATTTCACACTTATTTCCTTAAACAGAAGAGTTAGTATAAGTAGGCTGCACGCACATTACTTTTTTAGGGGAAGTAAGTAGGAGCTTTATACTAAATAGTTTTCTGTAATTCCTTAGTTTTCAAAACATATGAACACCTACCTGCCTGTGTGTTTCTTAGTCACACACATTATTACAACACTGATGAATTCTTTCTCCTGTTTAGCTAAATGAAAATCAAGCACCAACAGGATACGAGTTTTTAATTGTTTTTGAGGAGTTTTTTGTAGGTAGTGATCGTTTATGCTATAGTAATTCAGCTATACTGAACTAAAGCTGAAGTCAATGATTTTTTCTCAAATATACCTATTCCTAATTCTGAACATCAATTTTTTTGGCTTACGTATTTTATTCTTCCTTAAAACCCAAATCCCATACAAATATCAGTTTGTCCTAGGAATGTCAAATTAGCTTTACCTTCTACTTTATAATTAGACGACCTGAAACTACAAAGTATAAGTAAATGCTGAAGTCCAAACATTATATACTCCCAGGTAATTCAGCAGGCCTATCAGTTACTGTTATATTCTAAACTTATGTCTACATGTAGGAAAGCATCCATGGCCCTTTGTTTATTATTGGAGTCTTCTGGTAAATCTGGACCAACAGAGCAAACAACAGCTTAGCCAGCTGACTTACAGAACAACTCAAGTACATTCACTGTTTCCAGTGTTCATCCTAACACAGGATCCATCAGATACTGGTACTGGTAGCTGCAGACCAGGCTTTCCCTGTCAATAGCACCCTACTTGTGAAAACCTCATTTATATGCAAAATTTAAAGTACCTTATCCATATTTTTACACAATTTTTAATATCTCTTAAGACCAGGGCTCACAACATCTTCATTCAGATTTCTGAACTTCTCCACCCCCTGCAGATATCTAGCAATTTGATTTTAATATTCATTCCATAAAGAAGTGACACTAATTCTCTCATTAATCTTCTTCTCTTTCAGCAGCGAAGATCTAGGAAAGTCACTTCCCATTGATCAGTAGCTTTTAAATATAAAAATACAGGTTAGACTGTAGGGATGTCACACTGTAGGCACAAGTGTTAATTGCGTTTTAAGATGATGATCCTTCTCGGCAAATTGGATCAGTGATGTGCTAGCAAGGACCTGAGCAATCATTCTCAGAAGAATACGGATCCAAACCCTAATGCATTTCATGATATATTATGTAGCAAATGTAAGGTCTGTTAACACACATTATTAAAGTCACTGAGGCTGCTAATTTCAGGGCACTTAAATGCAGTCACAACTACCAGGAGTGGCTGCACATAAAAGCTGACAGCATTTTGGAATCAAGGGTTTAAAAAAAAGCCCAGCCTTAAAAGGAGTAAATAAGTTATTGCATAGATCTTTCATCTTCCAAATTAAAAAGACAAGAGAAAATGAATGCTGTAGAAATATAGGCCATCACTTACCATATCATGGTCTGAAACAGGCCCAAAACTGGTGACGAAGATGTCAGTCTTCACTTCAGTTACACGCTCTGATGAAGCAGGAAATTAGGACAGTGAGTGTCTATCAACAGTCTTCATTAGTTCTATCCACTACCAATTCTCACAATAAATAGCAAAATTATTGGCTTTGATTAGCCATTCTAAAATTGGTCTGCAATACAGTCCTGATAATTTATTGCTTCTAGATGTAATTTCACAGTCAATATTGTCAGCAACAATTTTTTTATTGCAGTCCTTCCAAAGAACTTTGAGACATGACTTGTGATGCCACAGTAGGGCAGCTGTAGTTCCACTGTTGTGTAAATCTTTTCACTCCTTGACTAATAAATCTTCCCGTCTGACAATATAAACAGTGATGAATATTTTACACAGTACTCAAAAGCCTCATTGTGTACTCAGTGTTTCTGGGCAAGCTGAACAAAGGTCTCTAATAATTATGGGATTATGAATTATGTATTTTGTATTGAGAAACAGGAACAGAGAAGAAACAGAGAGAGAGAGAATACACTATGGTGTACAAAAACATAAAGATATTTCACTGGCATGCTTTAGAAATGGCTGCATTTCCCTTAACTGCAATAAACAAAAAAGAGTTAAAACTTCTCCAAACAAATACCAGCTAAACTTCTTTCCTAGAATTTTTGCTTATGTGTCAATGTTATTGTTTGTAATTGGTTTAGATTTCTTTTTAAATTGATACGGGCACTAGCGTTTCACTTAAACTTCCAAATTTGTTTTATAAGCGTCAACGATAGATTAGTATAAACAATAATTCAGAAATCTACAACATGTACATAACACAGATTATATGTATATGCTGCTCCATAAAGCTGGCCTTCTCTGTGATTTCGAGGATGTATATTTGCTCCACGGCACAATGCCCTTGGCCACTTCAGAAGAATCTACTGATTTTAGCGGTCACACATGCTGAGTCTGAGACACCTAAAATGGTGCTGATCTCCAGAAAGAGCCAAACATCTGGCTTCTGCAGATCTACTGTTAAAAGTCTCTTTGAGAACCACACAAGCTTAACCCCCCACCTCTCCTCCTCCCCCGCTACACACACACACTCAGTACCAGTCACTTCTGAACGTACTGGTGTTTTCTAGGCCACACATCACAAAGTTTTCACCCAGGATGGCATATATCAGAATAACTCTGTTGATTTAAATATAGCTGCAGGGAGTAACACCACCTGGAGGCATGAATCCAGACAGTGTTGAGTGGAGCTAACCCCATCAGCTTTCAGAATTTACAGTGACGTAAGTCTGAATACCTTTACTATAGTGCTATACAAGCCAGCGTGGGGTTCTTCAGAATTTACAGTGACGTAAGTCTGAATGCCTTTACTATAGTGCTATACACTATAGTGGGGTTTTGGTAAAAATTTCAAATGTGGAAGGAGTGATACATTTCTCAAATAACTTTCAAAAAAGTAATAAATTCAGAAATCTGCAATATTAAAAGTAATACTAAGGAAAAGAGGCTAGCAAAATTGTACATGTATAGTAAGCAAAAGTAATGCAGAAATTTTTGTAAGACTATGTAGCTAACTGCATAGTTATTTAAATTTAGTAAAATAATTAGGTTAAAATAATAATTTAATGGCAACCCTCTGATTTCAAAATACTTTGGACTGCTTAAATATGATTTGTTCCATCTGACAAGAAAGTTTTGGCAGAAGAGAAGTAAAATAAGGAATCAAGGTTAAGCAGCCAGTAACAATATACATTTCTGTATCTGGTGCAAAAGTTCTAATGAGTATCAGTGTTCTACAATGCACATATGGGTTTTTCACTTTCATTCAAAAAAGTCTACAACTTCTAAATATATGTAAATGTAAGTAGCTTAATATAAATATTTAATATAGAGACAGGAAAGTATCTCCTTTTTATGAGACAGCAATAATCAAGAGGTAATATTAGATCTGTCATTCCAGTAATGCACTGAATGGCATTTGTATTCTGTTAGCAAGTTAATGCAAAAATTAGGTGGTAGCAAAAGTAATCTCCAGGACTCATTTAAAAAGTTAAAGGATGAAATTTCCAGTGTATTATTCATAATCACCGAAAGTATAATACTATGATGTGGCTGAATTGCCTAATATTTTTGTTCTCCGTGTCTGTGACTGAGGTATGTTCAAACTACAGTGACTATTGACAAAAGCACGGGATAGGTGAAATTTTCTCCTTGGCTGTCCACTGAAATTAATGTGACCTTATCATCGTTTACAAGCTTTTCTACTGACTTAAAGAAATGTAAGTACTGTCTTGACATCTAATTGGCTCTGGACTTAAAGAAGTTCACAGTGAGAATTTAACCTTCTATTACTGGAAGAAGCATATGGTTGTCCAGAAATTGCTTGGCTTGGAAAAAAAAGTCTTCTCTCCTTCAGCCCATCATTTTCACTAAAGTTCAAGAGGCTGTGGTCTTGTATGAAAGAGCTGTCAGAAAAAGGAGGAGATTTCACAAGATCCAGTAAAACACTGCTGAATTGATTCTTTAAGTTCCAGCTACTGGATCACTTTTTCTTAAGACTGAGAAACTAATGCCATCATGAAACTTATTAGTCTTTTACATCTTGAAAAATGAAACTCCAATGACTTTTGAAGATCTTTCATCCCAACTCCCCATCTCTCCTTTCCACTGAGGCACTTCCACTGGTGTCATTAGGAGACCAAAAGTGCCAGAACCTCTTCAGGCACAATGCATTCATCCCTTAGCAGTGTAAACTCAGAGTCTCAGGGCTGGGTGAGCCTCTATTTAATATAATACAGCTAACTGATTTACCTTGCACAAACACTGACTATGCTCTTTGAATCAGTGGCATACCATGTAGTGGTGTCCTGAATTCTAGTTCTGGGAGACATGGTCATAGTAGAGAGGTTGAGGCTTAAGGAAACCACTTTGAGGATGCAAAATGGAAACAAAAGGCTTGGGCAGAAAGATGAAAGTTTTCCAAGGGAGTGAAAAAATTAGTGAAAATAATTAGAGAAAATAGTGATGGCATTCATTTCCACATAACATTGAAGGCAATTTAAGTGGCATATAAGTCATAAGTAATAATAGAAAATTCAGCTTGTGAACTCCCAAGAGATTCTGTTATTTCATGCCAATTACACTTTTGCAGAGCATCTAATCCCAGGTCTCTTCAAATTCAGATAAAACCACTGTACACACCACCAAAAGATTTCTTTTTTTCTTTGATATGTACCTCATTCTCAAGAGCAATGAAAAATTGTGTATGAACATGCAGGAAAAGATTAGCTTCTCCAAAGCCATATGGAAGTTTTGAAATTTTTGTTTACTGTTTTACTAATTAGATGATTCAACTCTGCTTTGTTAAGAGCTTCAGAAGTTGTGAGTCACTCCTGCACAGGACATACAGTTTACTCATACAGTTGGGATATATATTTAGAATCAAGGTTAACCATGTTCAGTTTGCAGCTTGATTACCATGGGAAGGCTTAAACTGTCCTTCAAGTGCTCAGAGTGCATTTTTCAGGAACCTCAAATCCTGAGCTATATTCAAAACCTTCACAATATGCCGAAGAACTGGAGAAAATTGAAGTCATTGAACAACACAAGCTCAGGTCAGGAGCTGATTGGACTGCTGAGGATAAATCCATCAGTTGTAAAGACATGTTAACTATGTCTCTTGGCTCTAACATCTATCTTATGAAACAGGGCTAAGTAATAGAGGGGTATCTGTAGAACATGTAGTAATTGCAGTAAAAAAAAAAAAAAACAAGGAAATTATTAATGACTTACTAGTTTTACTATAAGGCAACCATGGGGTCCAAGTAGTTACTGATCAGCAAAATAGCAACTGGATACTACACCTAGACACTCTGGAACACAGCCTCGGGGAAGTGATCCACGTAGAGCTATGAAAGCACCAGTCAATGTGAACTTCTGTAATTTTACTGTTTACAACTACTGTGTTTTGCTAATGATACTAGACTAACATAAACTCTCAAAATTAATAACAATACATATTTTGATTTAAACTCCCAGGGAGCTCATTATTGCTAGAATTGTGATTGGATTACAAACTGAGAACAAAATACGAAACAGATTTATTTAAACAGCAGGAAATAAGCCTATTTATCATAGGAAACTATATGTTAACTATCTGCCTTTCTGACCTGCTGGGAATTGAACACAAGGCTTATTTCAATTGCATAGTTTGGTGGTTTAAATTAATTCCATCTTTTCTGGTAATGCACTTGTTCCTCCTGCATGTCTTGTGTAAGTGTGTGCCGTGATATTAAAATAGAGAAGACTTTCCTATGGTTTTGAATGAAAGGCATTTAGATGCCTGTATAGTGTATGCTATTATTACTAGAAAACCTAATGGATACTAATCACCCTTGCTGCATCCTGTGAGTATTTTAATTGAAGAACCACAACAAATACACTCATAAGAATTTTGTGCTGCTGCTTTAGTAAAAGCAGAGACCAAAAGGGAGAACAACGAGCCATCTTGCGATTACTCAGCTATAGCCTGTGCTGTTAAGAAGGGTTTACCAAGAGCTGTGCAGCATCGTGGCAGCTCTCCCCATGCCAATTAACAGCCCAAAGTTGCTCAGATCCTCCCTACCTCCCTACTGTTGTATTAAACCAATTTCCCTAGGGTCTTCTATGGCTTTGTACAGTTGCCTTTACATCAATGTGGTACCTACAGAGTGGAAAACAGACCAAAACCAGCCCTTTCAGTTTTTACAGAGTCCTTCTTCACTTACTGCTATTCTGTATAGGACTCTCTTCATTTAGAGTAGAAACATTCGGACTTGACTAAATTTTTATTACACATGCAGACCAAAACCATATTGTCCCTAAACTTTAACTTAGCTCAGATACAAGTTTAAATCTAACAACTTCCATTGGGACCTCAATCACCAAGAGATAAGTTTATCATCTATTTATAGATAATGTTCTCAATAAAACTTAATTTTAAAACCTAATTTACATTATACTGTCAGGTTTATTTTCCTGAGCACTCTGTGGAAGCAATGAATTGCCTGAGATGGACCAATGTTCCACTTAAGGACAGTCACACTCAATTTTGATAAACATCACACAGCAGAGAACAAAAAATAGCTTTTACCGATAGCATAAACCAAGTACAATTCTGTTCAATACTGCAGTAATACTGATAATCTACTTGGGACAATCTAACGGCCATTGGACCCAACTATAAAAGCAAATTTCATTTAGGAAGATTCTGATCTGACTAATCAAACTCATTCTTGTTCTTCTTAGTTCTGTATTGAACAACCTTTCTACTACAAAATCCCTCTCAAAGGGATAAACCACACTTAAAATTTTTCCAAGTTAAAAGGTCACAGACCACATGGTGTCCTTTCATTTTAGAGATGGGATGTGTGCACTGCAAAGTTGATAGTCTTAAAAATCTGTAGCTGCACCTGACTTCATGTTAATGCATCTCAGCACCAGCTACAACCAACCTTCCCGGGACAAGCCCACTCTCTCTACACTGTGGCACTCCAGATCTGCTTTGGTGGCATCCCAGGGCTCATCTCTATTCCCCACATGAAGACAACCCCGAACAAAAGGCAATGGCATATCCATTTATCTAAGGAAGTTTTTTTTTTTCCCATAATTTTTCATTGCTTTTAGATTCTTTTAAAGTCCCACTCCAGATACAGTGGTTTACACTGAGGAGGATTTTCCTACATATTTGCCTCCTTCCCACCAGTGTCTGATCCTTTATTTTGTTCAGGGTTGTGTATTTGAAAAGAGAACAGCATCTTTATTATTTAGCCTATTTTTTATCACCTGTAATTCTAAGATCCAGATAGTTCCCACAGAAAATTATGCTATTAACTAAATGACTTCACTGTTTATTTTTACCCTTAATGTCCAACATAATTTCCTCTTTTTTCAGCTTCAATATGTTATTCTCTGCAATCCCTCCTCTTTGCTTTTTGTAAATTATTATCCTCTCATAGAGTTAATAGGTGTCCTCTAGTATGATTCAGAACATTTTTACATTCATTTTGAAAGCTTTCTCTTCCAGGCATAAATAACTGTAAATGTAGTTATTTGTCCATGTTTATGGATGTGTACAACAGATGCTATTTCCTAGCAATGTCTCACTAAGTGACTGTGCCCACATATGAAGGAGGCAAATATCTAAATAACATAATTTATATCAATTATTGATAAGAGGTGCAAATGTGCCAATGCATAACTAGTGCTGTGTGTTTCTTTTAAAGAAAAATAAGATTAACTTTAGCCACAATGCCATTTTTACCAAGCATATTCAATCACTAACATTTTTCCCAGGGGGGTCACCTACTCAATTTTTTTTATATTCTTGTTAATGAGAAATAATTCCTTCTTTGTTTAACAGCAAAATGCTCAGAGCCACTTGCTTAATTTCAGATATGTCCTTACTGGGTTAGCTGGTGCATAATAACTTTAATTCCCATATTCTTTATGGAGCCTATGCGTTTATTATTTTTACTTTTGAAGTGATACCTCAAAAGAAGATCTAAAAAAAGGAAAAGGAAAACTTAATATTAATCTAGCACTGATTCCATGCATTCTGAAAGAGTGATTCAGAATTCAGCACCTCTAAATTTTTCATTATCTTAACGCTCCACCTTTTAACCTGGCTTTCCAATAAATATATAATATAGCTCCAACAGTGTATCTTTGTAATGAGATCTCTCCAGGAGCTTGTTCCTGGTTTCATGGTGCCTCATCTGCCTCACCAGGATATTTCTACCAAACAGTGCAACTGCTCACCACACTAATAGGAAGTTTGCAAATTTGGGATGGAGAAATATCATGATGTTTATTTCAAAAAGGAGGAAATTATTCCTATAAGTGGGAAGATCAAGATCCAGCTCGTTTCACAATTCATTGCAATTTTTCAGTAAACATATCCTTTTGTCACTGAATTCTTCACACATACACATAAACACAGGAAGGAGAAACAAACTGACTGAAGAAACTCTATCATCTACCTTTTCTTCCAAAAGTGAGAGAGAGAAATTGGTTCTCTTTTCTATTTCTGTTCATGCACAGAATTCTCTTTTCTGTAGGTGTACATATTTGAAAAACCATTCTATAGAAGGAGAGGTTGTGCAGGGATAAGCAGAGAGTTTTCCGCAATATGCCCCTTTCTGTAAAAGAAAGTAGCTGTACCGCGCAATGTTTTACTTCATCTATTTTTTCTCAGAAGGCATAGAAAGAACAGGTCAATTTTGGATAGTTGGAAGTGTGCTATATTGTAACCAGTGGTATACAGATTTACATTGTGCCTAACGGCATAAAATTTATCAACATAACCCATGAATGAGGGTCTCTGGTCTCTTAAATTTTCTGATAGCTATATCACAGCTAGTATGGAATGAATGAGTTTTAGATCTAATTCTACATATCTAAAAATGCTGTTACATTGGTAGCTTTCTTAACTTTCTCTTTAGAGTAGCTAAAAGTCATGTTCTGCTTGAAATATTTGATAAGAACCCATCACTGATGTTGGGAAGAAAAATTAAACCACTGCTCTTCCATATGAATTTTAAAATTTCCAGCAACAGATCATGCTGTAATGGAAGGCTACTGAACTTCCAACTCCAAGAACTGTGCTATATTTGATATATTGATTTAGATTTCTCATTGGGTATTTTTATGTATGGAATCTACAGAATACATTTCCCCATTATACAAGGTGTCTAAATCAAGTCTCTCAAAATTGAGTCATCTTCAGGTTCTTAGCTCATAGGTACCTCAGCAAGAAGATTTTGTAGATGTGAAATTCAAAATTCCTGAGCAAGCCCTTTTTTATAAATTGGTACCAGAACTGAAAACATTGGCCCAGATGTTTGTCCCTAGCTTTCAAAATCTATAAATTATGTCTTTTGAATAAAGCGTTATTCAACAGTCAAAAAGGTAAAGCTACTTCTTACTGCATTTAAACAATATTTTACTGCCCACAGTTTCATTACATGTGGGATTCTTTAAAAAGGCCTGGCACTCTTAGTTCTACTGTTCAAAGCTGACAAATATAACAGATAAATTAAATTGACTCTGCTGAACTGACACCATGAAACTATAATGTACTGAGCAACAGGGAAATTGTGATATTCTAGGTTCTTGGCTACAGGCAGGAACATGTAACACAATTTAAAAAAGGAGGGATGGAAAAATTATTTAAACTTCTCTAACCCTTGGTTAGAGGAACCTCTCCAGTCCTGCCTTCCCACCACCCCATATTGCCCATGCTCCACTCATTTTTGCTTTTAACTGATAATGATGCAAATGGCTATTAAAGTTTGTGAAGATACTGATTTCCTCTTATAGAAGCAGTTACACTAAACAATCTTTCTGTCAGGAGTAAATTTTAACCGGACTGGATGATCCTTTCATGAGGAATGCAGACCTGCTCTCCCAGGCCCTTGAAGTCTGGCTTCAGAAACACATATATATATATAAACACATACATAAGACTATAATATACTGATGTGCTTAATTCTCTAAATTGTAATCCAGAGAATGAGTGAAAATCCTTTCCCTGCATCTCCTATTTGCTCTTCTAGTAACTGTTAAACAAATCACAATAGCTACAATACTCATATAAGAAATCATATGCTCAGATTTTTCTTCTAGACATGTCCCAGATTCTACAAGGTTACAGCGTTTCATTTATTTATTGCCTTCTCTGATGTGTTTATTTACTGTGATATAGTAGCTGATTGAACTGTACAGTTGAATTAATCAAAGATTAAGGAGTATTTATTTCTACACTAGTCCAAGGGTTTACAAGTAGGCAGGCAAAACTACTGGTAGATAAAAGTAAAAAGTTATTCTTCTTTTGTTCTTTGTTATTATCTGAAATTGCACACAAAAACTTACAGACCAAGCCTTTTTTAAACATGTTAATTAATACTTTATAAACAGAATTTTATCTTTAGCCATCCCCTGAAGTCAGTGAAGTCAAACCATTGAAGAAGCTGGCTCTTAATTCAAGAACTGGTGCAAGGTGATAGCCTCAAACCACAGAATACGCTTACTCTTAATTGCCTTCCATTTCACCTGGAGGAGATGGTGTAGGAATTCTTCATGCAATACCCTATTCTTCTTATAGTGCAGTTCTTCTGAGAGCTATTACATGAAAACAGGTTGAACTATACTTTGTGGGGTAGGTTGCTTTGTTTTATTTTACCTGAACAGTCCAAAAGGAAAAAAAAAACAACAAAAAACCAACAAACATCTGAAAGCAGTAAACCCAGCCTTTCCATGCACTGGATGAACAGATTTGTGCTTGTGTGTTTAGAACTTTCACATTAGTGAGCAACGAGCTTTTAAGATCCAATTTTGGGGTCATGTCACAGTGGAACAAATCAAAGAGTAAACATAGGGATGCTTATATAGACTAGGCTTTGTAACAACATTTTTATAAAGTTGTAATTGTTATGCGTTTATATACCTTTTTCTGGATTCAGCACCAAGAGCAGAAGAAGAAAGACATTTTTACCAAGCTGTGAAGACAAAACATTACAGAAACAAATCTGGACATACCTAAGTAGAAAAAAATGTTATGAACTTCTCTGAGACTTTTATGACTAAAGTTGATTGATGCTTTCACTTTTAAAACCAAATCCTCTTATGAAGATAGTCATAGATAGATGTGCAAATTAGGCCTGATTCATAAACTTGCCATTTGTCAGGTCACAGGTCATATTTTATTATCTTTTATTTTTCATACATTTAAAGTTTTAATAAGTAATCAGATGTCTTCTTGAACTGTGAACCATTTTCTTCTTCTTTTGGGTACAAATGTGGGAGAACCAAGTATGTGAAAGACAGAGAAGGCATGGCATTTTTGAAAAAAAGGTTATTTCACATCAGCATGATTTTATGTGCATATATAAACATAATTAAAACAAGCATAGCATGGAAAAATAACATTCTTTTAACTGATTTTTATCTAACATGTAACCTTGAAAATTATTACAACACACCTCCCAGTCCTGGTCTCAAACGGTTGTCATAACCATCCAGCAGACGATCCAATATTCTGGTAAATACTGTGGTGTTGTCTTTAAGTTCATCTTGTGATGAGGCTTGTCCATAGCTGAAAAACAGAACAGTTAAGACTGAAAAACAGTAATCCACCAATAACCTTACAAAACAATAATTCCAAAATCTGTTTAATCCTCCTTCTACTGGTTTATGGTCAGAAAATCTCCTCTGTAAAATAAGATTGCAGTGCTTTATAGGGTTCTTTTACTTAAACATTTTCTTCTTAAATTGTACATTTTTTTGTAAAATTGTAGAAAACCAGTGGCTCCCAATAAACAGTGAGCAAACAGAACGTCAGTTCCTTAATGTTTATCTCATTATTCATTAATGGTTATAATATTCTAGTACGTGTTCCTCAGTAAAAGGTTCATTTGTCAGCAAAATATAATGTGTTTAATTCATAATAGTTTTAAAGGGTTTGCATACAAAGAAAGACACAATAATTTAGAAAACTGACACTTAAGTACTGAAAATAAATGCTAAAATAAAGAGTAAACAAAAAATACATAGATGTTTTTTTTATGAATACAGAAGTAAATCAAGTGAGCGTGCATTTTCATAGATCAATATATAATTTTTGCTTTATTTTATTTCCCATTTTCCTTTAGCAATTAGATTTGGGGGAATACCTCAAACATTTCCTTACAGTTGTGTAAAGAAACCATCTGTTGATATGGAATCTCTCATGTCTATAAAGCGTTGTTTACAGATACCAAATGTATAACTAATTCAGCCAAAGGTCCTCAGATTTTGCTTGAACAAGGATAACATTAAGCTCTTTGAACTCAGTGACCAAAATCTTCCTTCCATCAATACAAATCAGAATGAAATCCTTGGGCTTAGTGGTTTCTGTCTGCTGTAGATGACATCAGAATCAACCTTTTTCTCAAATCTGAAACCTTTAGCAAATACCCTGTGACAGATGATTCCCTTAATCATAGATTACAGTTGTCTTAGAGCCAAACTCAGAGTCATTTTTTTCATTCATTACTGGGAAGACTTCCATTACAAACATGTGTAGTCACCATTACTAAAAGCAAAAACACTGCTTTCCAAAATAGCATTTTGTCGCACACATTGCTACTGAACGGGATACCCAGTGCAGTGCCAAAGACTTCTGTTAGGATCAGGTCTAGTCCCAAAAGTGGTTCTTCCATTGGGCAGCTTGTTATCCCTGCGGCTACAGTGATATGCGGGTCTCTGTGCTCTGCCAGTTGTTCCTGCTTTAACCAGCAAAGGCCGTCTTATGACGAATATACGGTTACATGAAACGATCTGGTTCTATTAAAATACCTATGAAATTATTTTCTGTAAACGGCATCAGTCAAACATCCATTGCGTATCCCACATATGTGTTCCACTTGTATCAAATACCGAGAGAAGGAGGAAAGATACCCCCAGCATAGGTGCTCTGGAAATACTTCCAAGTTATTTTGCAGCACAGGGTTGAATAAGTAGCACTACAAATTGAAATGAGTTTCAGAACTGGCACTCCTAGAAATTTTAGTAACTTCTGTTTTATTTCAATAGGACGTGACTTTGTAGAGAACAATTTTCAGGGGGTTTTTAATGCATATAAATCCCGGTTTCTAATGAAGAAAACAAAATCTCTGACAGTTTAAAAAAAAACCTATGAATTTCCTCTAGCCATATCATATAATTTAACTTAATAAACAGGTTGATTTGTATTTGTTTTTCATACCTACAGTTGCATTTAAGTCACACACATAAAAATTTTTGTCTTTCATGTGTCCAATATGTTACCAAATAACAAGTTCTCCTGCTGTCTCCAGTGAACATTATCTTTCAAAGGATCATTCCTCATACACCTCATGTAGAATTGCTACACAGGACTTTTCACTGGATTAAATTTTGTATTAACACTCATTGTCAGTAAACAAGCTGCTGTACATACACATCTCAAGGGTAGCAGAAGGTCATCAGCATTGAGGTGGCAGAAGGAGATAAAAACACTTCAGAAATGTTAGTGGTAAATAAATGAGCATGTTTGCAGAAGGGGTGTCAGAAAGATGGACTAGTGGCAGCGCAGTCAGAAAGGATGCAGTACAACACACCGCTTCCATTCTGGGTGTCGCATTTGTCAGAACCCTCACCTGTTCTTCCCACCATTTTATCAGAGGTAAAAAGCACTGTTAGGGCTGGTTTTAACTGACATACGCTCACAACAGGAAGAATGTGAGCATTTCCGCACGTATAAAGTACACTGTAACTCCAGAGGGATCGTGATTTTTCATTCAAAACACACATGTCATAATAGTCCTAATGCTGGTTTTTATGACAAGAAGAACGATGTGGAAAGACTGTGTCTTCCTGTATCACAGACACTGTATCTAATTCATCAATTGTTTCTTATCATACAGGATTAGCAGCACTCCAGGAGAAAAGGTAAGGGACGTTACTGTGACAAAATGGCTTTAGAAACAGATATATTTCATGTAAGGTGTGTACATTTTGAGGAAAAAGTGACTGTATGCGATTGTGTTTTCATATTAAACTACAGTATAATAAAAACTGTGCACTAACTCCATCTACAGGTCATTATGATAGTGACATACCCTATAATTTTTAAACACGAGTCCAATGTCTTTTAATTCCCACTTTAAGAATGCACATGCATACATTATAGATGTAATAAATATAAGGACACATATATGTACAGATATTTATATAATAAACATGTTTTCACTAAATGCTCTAGCTAGGCCAGATGAACTATTTCATGAATACTTAAATCTCACCTTTCTTAATATATTAGCAAAATAAAGGTATCTCTGCTAAAATGCCATGTTTATTCAATACACCAATTATAACGTGAATCACCCTCTTTAATGTTTTTTAGTTAGAGGAAACACTTGTGCAGCTGAACCTTTGCCCCTTTGCCCACTCCACTCTATTTAAAATCTTCAAGATAGCCAGAAGTTATCTAGAGCTGCAAATGCACAGGAGACACTGTGGACATCAAGGCATAAATACATCTTCTAGGGATCACTGCTGAAAATATGAAATTTCTACTGCTTTTTGGTCATTAGGTAGCATTACTGACAGGACATTAATATTTTTCAAAATACAGAAATATATCTGTGAGTCTTCTTAAACACCTTTGCTGAATTTTGAATTGCAGAGAATACTTCAAGTGTACTCCCAACTGCTTCATTGTCTTCAGTTAACCTAGCAGTTGTTAGATGAGGTGTCGTATGATTACAAATTGTTCTTAATACTAATGCTATGTTTAGATTTCAACGTATATTCCATAATCATTCAGTGCAGGATAGCCTTTCAAACATAAGCTATTATGAGGTTTGAGCTTACAAATACTTCTTCACCCAAGCAGTCTCCCTTCCCCAGGAAGGTCTACTTCGGATTTGCAAAAACAGCTGCAGATCAAGTGTCTGTGATACACTTAGGACACAATCCTGACCCACCAAGAACTGAAAGTTTTGCCTCTGCTTGCAGAGATGATAAAGTTACTAAAGAGCACTTAAATGAGATCTAAAAATACTTAATTACACTTCTTTTTCCCTCCAAAGAAACTTGTCTTTCAGAGCAGTCACTATATAAGAGTAGGAAGGATTGCACAGGTGTTTAAGAGGTAGTTTAGTCTCAATTTGTTTCAGAAAGCTTTTGCTTTTTTTCTTCACATTATTGAAAAAAAAGTTATGCAGACAAATTGTAGTTTTCTTTCAGTCTTCCCTTAGATTTATCTGGGATTTGAACAGGGATTAACTTTCCTCAATACACTTAGTAGTAGTGCAGCCCATGCAGTATTTGTCTTCTGCTACCATGTTAGAGGTTCCTAAAATACGTTGGTGCATTAAAAAGTGTCTCCCCACCTTCTTTCAGTCAGTGCATTCAGAAGGAGGCTCCAGGCCCAGAGGCAGTCACAAAGCACCAGGAGTCTCTTCATGGTGGGCTCTGAAACTAGAAGGAAAATAATCGTCAACATCCCCTAGGCTAAAACAGGTACTGTGGAAAAAAAAAAAAAAAAAAAAAAAAAAAGTCTGATTTTGGAAACTTTTGCAGAATAATTTGATGTCAGGCAATGACCTCACAATACTCTAGCTCATGTCATTCAGAATAAGGAAGCACGGCCTTGGCTGTTTTCTTTCTACTTTTACACACAGAGGCTTAGGGTGGGGGTTTTTTTTAACGATAAGGGTGTATTCTTGTTTGCATTGTTCTTGAACTTTAACAAAAACAATTATGATTTAAAGCTGCTGTCCCCAAGCTCTGTGACAATTTTTACTCAGTTTCTTCCCCTGTCGACAATGCGACAAGGTGCCTCCATAACATTTCCAGATAACCAAGTGTTATTTTTTTTTGTTTGACTTGAACCAGCCTGAGTCCTTCCAAACCTCTTGGAAGGTGTCTGTGGGTGGTAGTGTGACTGAGGAGAGCAGCGCTCCCCTTACAGCCGCTGCTTTGCTTTGATGTGATGGAAGCAACTTTCTTCTACAGCTTTTACTATTTTCCTCTTCCCTGAAATATTTGCATCAGAGAAGGAGTAAAATGATCAGATTCTGACTCTGTGATCTGCTGCTACAGATGCACACCAATATATTTGTTGGGCTAAAGGGCACAATTCACGATCAAACTATGTGCTGGCAACCTACACACGATCTCCTAAATCTCAACCGGTCTCTGCTGCTAGGAAATGCTTTTGCACTAGCAGCCTTCTCCTCCTTTTCAAATGCCTCCTGTCCTCTCTCCAGACTTCACTGAGTTACTCTCAGTTTACCTTTGAGTAAAAAGCAACATAACTCAGAAGGTTTCTTTCACTTTCTAATAAACCATAAAATACAAAGTTAGCTGGTATTTGTGCAATCAGTGTTCCAGATTCAACTGATTGCCCAGGAGATGCTGCAGGTCCCTTTACATATCTACATACCGTGTGCTGGAATCCAGTCGATTTTTAGTATTCATTACATTAAATAAGGGCAACAAAATATGAAGCCTGTATTTTCCCCCCAATAATGAATTGGAGGTTTTTTATAAATGCCTGAAAAAATGAAGCACTGTACATGGACATGTTGTTGCATCTTTAAATAAAGCTACCCCAATTCACTGCACACTCTCAGGGACAATTTAAATCAATAAAATATCATTACAAAGCCGTATGTAAGCAATGAGCTATAATTAATGCATTTATAGGCAAATGATCTGCAGATAAGCACTGAGTGATGCTGAGCTAATCTAACTGGATAGGAGCTGGATGTGGCAGGAAAGCATGGATAAAGATCTTCAGGGTCGAGACTGCATCTTAACTTGCCCTATGATGAGACCCCTTACAAAGGGAAAGGCAATATCTGTGGCTTCAAAAACCGCCTTCTCCTGGTCCTGCCAACTTCTTTGGAAAAGGCTCCTCCGGATGAAGAACAGAAAGTGAATTATTCTGAACTATCTTGATCTGTTGAGCTCCACGGCCGCACCCCCTCCCAACACAACCCCCCGCTTCAATAAACACATACAGGCACTATAAATCCTGGAGAAGGAAAGTCTTCTTGCAGCTGGAAAAAGCAAATGCTAAAAAAGACTTTCAAGGAGCGTTAAACACCAGCAGCCTCCAGACCCCGGCCTCCCCTAGCCCGCACCGCTTGTGAAACTGGCTCTGGTTTTCCCATTCAAAATGGGAGAAAGAGCCACGCTTCTGGGAGAATGTCAGCAGCTCCCACCGGGGAAAGAAAATGGACAGCGCCCCCCCCGGGGAAAAAAAAAAAAAAAAAAAAGGGGGGGGGAAGGGGAAGAAGAAGTGGGCATTTTGATGCATTTTTGACCCCCGGTGAGAGATTTGCCCGTCTCCGAGGCGTAAATAGAGACTTGTTTTCCTCCTGGCATTTCAACTTTGTATTTCCCCCTCACCCTCAGAAAGCCACCCCTCCCACCGCCTCCCTCGGAAA